GCTGGAGGGATGCTCGTACACAACACGATCAACCCCCCGATTGGGAAACACGTCCATCTGGGAATGCAAATAAGGCGAACTAAATGGACCTTGGACATCTTTCGCCAGCAAATCCTCACGTTCTTCTGTGTCTCTTTTTTGACCTGTTTCTCTCTCTCTCTCTCTCTCTCTCTGTCTCTGTCTCTCTCTTTCTGTCTATCTTGCTTTCTCCGTGTTTCCCTTGTCCTCTCTGTCTCTGTCTTTCTATCGTAAGGTACTGTAGTAGTAATCCTTGCATTTGATATAGCGCCTTATCACGTCTTCGAGACGTCTCAAAGCGCTTCACAGAATATACTGTAAAGCGAATTGATTGCATGTTTTGTGGGCAGCCAATTGCTTAATTTGCTCACTTAATCCACAACAGTTGTGGATTAAGTGAGCAAATTATTATTGTTTCTGTCTGTCTCTCTCTCTCTCTCTCATGTTACTCCTCCTTCCCTGCGGTAAAAACTTCTTTGGTCATTGCTAATAAGAGAGTGGCATTTCTTAACAGATTTCCCAATCAGAAATGTGTGGCAGTTGAATCACGCAATACTGAGCTAAAGACGGGGCTCTGGAGCACAATTGAAGATTGCTTCAGGGAGCGAAATACATTGTGTGCGTGAGAGAGACAGACAGACAGACAGACAGACAGACATTATTGAGTGTTTGTGTGCGAGAGAGAGATATGCGTCTGTGTGAGTGATGGAAAGAGAGCAACAGAGCGTGTGTGTGAGAGAATGAAAGAGACAGTATGTGTGTGAGAAAGAGAGGAGACACTGTCTGTGTGTGTGTGTGTGGGTGTGAGAGAGCGACAGTACGTGTGCGTGAGAGCGAGAGAGAGAGAGACAGAGTGTGTGAGAGAGAGAGAGAGAGAGAAGAGAGAGAGGCCTGAAGTACTGGACCCCAGGACCTCTGCTGTGCTCCGGGTGCCATTATACCTCGGAGCAGAATTCCTGCGAATCGAACGTAATTCCAACTGGATCACTTATTAATACCACAATTTAGAAATCCCCCCCCCCCCCCCCGCCCGCCCACCACCCACAACTAACAACCCCCCGCAGCTCGGGGTTCAAACCCTCAACTGTCCAGCACCTTGAGGGGTTCTCCCGATGTGAAGGGAAGGGCTCCGGGTAAATGCAATTTGTTGGAGCGAATGGAGTCCTCAGCACAGGCAATGTTATAATGTTTGCGCTATAAAGTACGTAGCTCGGAGCCCCGCTGTGACTGTTATCACACAGGGAGTTGGTTGTGGGAGAAGAGCGAGGCACTAGGATGGAGTGGACAGCCGTAATGGTAGGGTAGGGTTTGAGATGAACCATCAAGTGGAGTTACTGCACTGAACAGTAATTACTGCAGGACTTTGTTGGAGGGAGTGAGCTGCTCAGCTTTGGGGACTTTGCAGATCCTGTGACACGAGTTGAATAACAAGCGTCAGAGTCACTCAGTCGGTCGAGTTCACGGTTCTGGATCAGAGAGTTGTGGGTTCAACCCCTACGTCGGGGAATTTATGCTCATGGTCTAAGCTAACACTTCGGTGCAGTGCGGGGGGCGGTGGGGGGGGGGAACGCTGCATTGTTGGAGGCGCCGTCCTTAGGTTGGTCGGACTCCATAAACTCAGCTTCGTCTGTCTGCTCGTTAAAGATCACATTGCCGGCGCGCGAATTGGCTGCCAGGTTCATCCACACAACACACAGTCACTAAACCGAACGTTAATGACGAAGCACGCCGAGACACGACTGAGTGAAGGGCACTATATAAATGCAAATTGCTGTACTTAGGAGTGCTTTGAGACGTTTTGACTTTAATAATAATAATCCTCACATTTAATGTAGCTCCGTTCACGTCAGGAGCATGTGTCAAAGCACGTCACAGGACTTTACTACGAAGTGTTGTGACTGTGTATTTTACAGGCGAACACGACAACCAAATTGCACACAGCAATGCTGCCCACATAGCCATGAAGTGAGTCACCAATTTTAACTTGGGGATTGTTGGCCAGGACACAGGGAGAAACCCTCTTCTCTTTTCAGGTCTTGAACGTCCACCTGAACAGGCACACGGGGGGACCTCAGTTTAACGTCTCATGCAAAGGACGGCACCCGTATCAATGCAGCGCTCCCCTCATGGCTGCATTGGGGTTCTAATAATAATAATAATAATCCTTGGATTTGATACAGCACCTTATCGTGTTGTTAAGAACGTCTCAAAGCGCTTCACAGAATGTGTTGTAAAGTGAATTGAATGTATATTTTGTGGGCGAAACGCGGCAGCCACTTGCGCAACAACAACAACTTGCGTTTATATACTTATAGCGGCGCCCTTCAACGTGCGGAGGGTTGGCGTTCCCCGGAGAGGCGCCTGCAATTGAGTGGTTAATGTAAGATCGTCCTCACGTCTGATCCTTTGCCCTGAATACCCTGGTAGGCCCAAACATATTGTTCTGCGTTTACCTTCTGAACCGCCGAAAGGGTGGGGCGAAGTGGATTGGGGGTGGGGAGGCGGTGGGTGGGTATGTGTCGAGAACCTGGGCTTATTTTCCTCTTGCTCTGGGCGTGTTCTGGCCAGCACCTGCTGTCTGGTGGAGGTCAGGATGTGGGCTGCGATCTCATGATACAGTTGAGGGGGTGGAGAGAATAAAACAACAAGAAGCGTTCTTAACTGCTCGCTGTGCCTGAGCTCGCTGCCTTCACATCTCCCTCGCGTCGTGGTGCGGCCGTTGACGGAAAAGGTAGGTTTATTCGCGCCGATTTGAAATGAATGAAAGAGCGATCGGTCTTAACTGGCTCAGTCGCTCACGTTGTCAACAGCTACACGCCCCCCCCCCCCCACCCACCCCCCCCAACCCCAACCACCTCCCACCTCGGGGCTTTGAGCTCATAGGCCAGGCTGACGCTCGCTGTGCGTTGCTGGCAGAGGGGGTGAGGGGGCGGTGGGGGTGGAGGAAGAGCGAGAGAGCTGCATTGTTGGAGGCTCTCGGCTTTGCATGATGTCAAACCGAGGTCTTTATCTGCCAGTTCTTCACGAAGACTTTGCAGCTCCCCGAGGCACTGTCGGAACAGAGGAAAGGAGCTTTACTGAGTGCAGCTTGCCCGCGGAAACGCAGTCACTGCACTTATCAGTAAGATGTTCTTTGAGTCAAGGAAGAAGGGAGTTTCTCCTGGAGCCCTGGTCAGCGAGCCTGCACAAACGGTTGTTCATTCACGTCATCGTAAGACCTTGAAGGTGCAGAATGACTGTTGCTTTTGGCTGCCAACAGCAATCACTGTACTCGACAGCATTATCATTGCATCTTACAGCAGATAATTGGCCTTCACTGGTGGCTTTCTCCAAATGTGACGTTCTTTGAGACATTTTGAAGCGATGAGTGGGGGAAATTCCACCTGAGTCGAGACTGATTTTTTGGGGGTCAGCCGGTGTCGGTAGATTGTGGGAGCGGAATGCGCGCTCTCTCCCTGGAGAGACACATCCTATCTACCTAATTCCAGAGAGTATTAGGTGCAGGTTGGCAAGAACTAAGGCTTGGGGAGCCCAGAGTGTGCGTTGGGGTAACTGCTGGAGTCTAACCAGCTAAAACCGCGTAGCTTGCTATTGACATCATTGTCTGACAAGCTTTCCCGCTGCTTGTCCAGCTAGGACCACCCTACCCTCTAGGGCTTTGGCTTGCAGGGTTAACAGGAGCTGAGTGGGATGATTCCCTACCACTAGTGACCGAGTTGCCCTTCCAGGTCCTGCCGATGAGCCAGGCTGGGCTGTGCAGCGATGCCCTGGCAGACTGTGGACCCGCCTGGCTCAGGAACCGGACTAGAGACCGTCACAGAGGTCTGGCTCGATTCTGACATTCCTTGGCCAAACATGTCACCTTTCAGTTCCAAGGAGACTCCGGTTACCTCTGGCCCCAGGAGGATAGTCGAGACTGATGTCGTGTCCGTAATTTGGAAAATGGTTGAATTCAGCCTGAACCTTTCCGTTGCTTTCCTTATTAGTGGGTCACCCGCTCACCGCTGGGCCAGAAGGTCAGACGTTAAAGATCCCATGCATACTTGGCGGCCTGACCAACAATTCTCCATCTAAAATGTTATTCACTTCATAGCTGTTGGTCGGATGTCGCTGTGTGCAAATTGGCTGCCACGTTCGTCTACAAATACACAGTCAGTACACTTCAGTGTATGATGTTAAGCACTTTGAGCCATGTTGATGATGTGATAAGGCACTGTATGAAATACAAGAATCGTTTATTTATATCTGATTGTGGGCTCAAGATCCACGTTGGGGCTTTGAGTTTAGAGTCTGAGCGCTCTGAGACGCTACCTTGAGTGGAGGACGCTGTGTAAGTGCAAGTAGTTGTTGTTGTAAGATGACACTTCATTGCAGGGCTGGGGGTGTGCTGCAGTGTTGGCGGTTTCAGACTTCAGTTGCGATGTGAGACTGAGGTCCTATCTGCCTGTTAAGGTGGGCTTTAAGGTGAACAGAAGAAGGTCATTTGACCCATCGTATCTATGCCGGCTTCCTCAAGAGCAAACTTTTCAGTGCCATTATCAGAGAAGGGAATTTCTCCCGTTGTTCCTGTCCAACACTTCTCCCAGATAAAAATATGATCATTTAATTCATGGCAATTTGTGGGACTTTACTGTACGCAAAATGACTATCTCGGTCACCTACAAATACATAGTAGTCTAAAGAAAACCTGTGGAACGCTTTGAGACATTTTGACAGAGTGTCAAGGTGGAATAAATAGCAAATGGAAAGATTTATTTTTGTGTATTAAATCGAGTTGACTTTCATTCTCGTTCTTGCGACATTGTCTCGAGGTGAAGAGAAAAATTGCTAAATTTGGAAACACAGTTTCTTACAAATCACGTTTCTATTTCAGACGAAACGAGAAAGTATTGCTGGCGTTACTGTACTGAAGTGGAACCCGAGAGAGAGCGAGGTAAGGGGTGGGCAACCTCAATATTGCTATCGACATTTGGAGAGGAACAACAGAAATGGGCGCAGGGAAATGGGATTCCAGAGCTCCAGCACAGACACAACAAAAACAACAACAATTTGCATTTATATAGCGCCCTCCATGCTGGGCGGTGTCCCAGAGCGCTTACCAATGGCGGAGCCCGATGCCGAGTCAGGGGCAGGGGGAAGGTAACATGATGGGGCGAGAGCAGGGGAATGGGGTTAGAGTGGAGAGCTCCAGTGGGGGAATGAGCACCAGCACAGACACCATGGGGGAAAGAGATGGCGAGAAAGTCTTTTTACGATAGCGTCGTGGGATCGTTTTCATCCACTTGCGCAGGAAAAACTGCCTTGATTTAACATCTCGTCGGCAGGACAGCACCTCCGACAATCCCTCGCCGCCCCAGCACTGCTCTGGAGTATAGCGCTCCCCCCTACCCTTTCCCCAGACCGCCAACATAGAGAACGAACCTTTTGACTCAGAGGAGAGCGCACGAGTTTCTGAATCAAGGCGCCACCTCATAACTAAAGGATGAAAATTGCGAGGTGTGATGTGATCATTGGCGCAGTGTTGAGTGTTGGCTTGGAGGCCAACCTTTATCATTGCATGATCACAGGGTGTTCCTACCCGCACTTTGACACGAAGGTTGAGATGACGCATTGAAACAATCCTGGGAACCAGTGCTCAACCATTGCGGTCAGCTAGATGTCTGTTGTCTTGGAAACCAATCCAGACTCATAGTGCCACATACGTATGTCCTTTTTGCCTCCTTTTCTGTCTCTCTCGCTCCCCACTAACCCCCACCCCCCCCCAACCCTCCCCCCCTCACCACCCGCCCCACTCTGTCAGTGACGGGGCAGGCTCACTTGTCCATCAATGAGGTCCATGTGGACCTCTGTAGTGTAGTGGTTAGAGCACTCACCTCACAAGCGAGAAGACCCAGGTTTAATTCCTGGGCAGGGTGAAACCTTAGGCAAGTTTCCTTACTCCACACGCCTCTGTTAACCCAGCAGTAAGCATGAACCCAGTTGGAAGTTGATTGGCAGTCTTTTTTCCAGGGGTAATATTCTCTCCCAAAAAATAAATAGCTTGATCACTCAATCCAATTACTTGTTGGACACTGTTGGCTGCCGCGTTTCGCCCACACAATATACACTTCACAGTATACCTGCGAAGCGCTTTGTGACGTCGCAACGACATGATAAGGCGTTTACCAAATGCAAGGATTATTATTATTATTATATGTAAATTTCGCTGTGTCCTGGATGGAATGATCACTCTCTCCCATGGAAGGAGGCCACCTACAAACCTAATCCTGGACAGTATTAAGGCACACAAAAAACACAAAATACCTCAGATGCAGGAAATCTGAAACAAAAACAAAAGTCGCTGTCTATTTTGTGGGCGAAATGGGTATTAAGGCACGGTTTAACAAGAGTCGAGGCTTAGGGGGCACCCAATATGTGCATTGGGATATTGTGGATTTTAACCAGCTAAAAATCATGCAGCTTGCCATTGCGAACACTGCCTGGCAAGCTTCCAATTGTTTGTCCAGCTCGGACCACCCAGCAATAAAAAATTTGACAGTGGTTAAATTGTACTCGTTAGGGCTTTGGCTCGCAGGGTTAACGGGAGCTGAGTGGGACGAGTCTGTTGGGTAACTGCTGAAATCTAACCAGCTAAAACTGCATAGCTTGCCATTGATATCACTGTCTGGCAAGCTTTCCCACTGTTTGTCCAGCGAGGACCACGCTACCCGTTGCCCTGGAATACTGAGGACCCACCTGGCTCAGGGACCGGACTAGAGACCACCACTGGCCATGAGCCTTGGAGCCAGCTGAGAGGCGTGAAAGGCTTTATATAAATGTAAAATTGTTTTTTTCACTGAACCTAACGGAGACGATTAGATTTTTCCACAATTCTGCGCAGTCTTACATTTTTAAGACGAGAAACTGCCCCAGAGGCTGAGAGAGGTGGGAACTTCATGGCCGTTGGGAGCTGCCAAATGTGTAATGGAAAAGTGAGAGAGAGAGAGAACCAGAGAGGCAAAGAGAGCGAGGAAGCAGCTGAAAGATTTTCAAACCTACATTTTTCTTGGAAAGACTTCATTAACTCTGCCAGAGCTCAGAGGAGTGCAGATGAAGGAATGACTCAATTTAATCGGGATAGCCTGTACAAATACACAGTTGCTGCACTTTGCAGTGAATCCTGTGAAGCGTTTTGAGACATCATCGAGGTGATCTATCTAATGCAAGGGTCATTCATTTTGGAGGTACCGGCAATTACGTAGATTTGCACTGTTGTTAATAACTAAATAATGCTGGTGTTTAACGCAGCTCCTTTTACATGGAGAGGACGTCTCGAAGCATTCAACAGGGTACACTGTGAAGTGGAGTATTACGTGGGAGAACTTGGCAGCCAATTTATGCACGGCAAGATCCCACAAGCAGCCATAAAGTGAAGGACCAATTTTTATTTGGGGGATTGTTGGCCAGGAGAGAGAAACTCCCTGCTTTGTAAGCGGGAGACCTGAGTTCAATTCCAGGCAGAGGGCGAAACCTTGGGCAAGTTTCCTTACTCCACACAGAGCCTAATAATAATCCCTCCAAAACCGAAAACAATAATAAATTGGTCATTTTCAATCTACGACTGTTTGTGGGACATTGCTGTGCGCAATTGGCTGCCGCGTTCGCCCACAAATATACAGTCAATTCACTTTACAGTGTGTTCTGTGAAGCGCTTTGGGACGTCCTCCCAACGTGAAAAGCGCTATATCAAATGCAAGGATTATTATTATTATTCAACCTTCGAGGCGAGAGTGCTCCCGCTGAGCCAGGCTGACCCAAGACACACAGGCAGTACTTGATGGATCAATTCCCAGTGAGATGTTTTGATGTAATAAGGCGTCGTATCAAATGTGAGAGTTATTGCTATTTATTACCAGTGCTTCTGGTTAACGATTCCTTTAATGTATTTTTTGCTTATTTTTGTTTGCAGAACACCGCCAGCCCAGTCACTGGGAAGAAGTGAGCAAGAAGGCAAAGGTGGGGGGCAAAAGAAATTCCGAATTCACGTTAACCCCCTACCCCACCGGAATAGACTGCTCTGCCGTAATGCCAAAAGGGGGAAGGGAAACAGGATACACTCCAGGATTGCTCCCTGCCCTTTGAGAGCAGCGTTTGGCGATGGAGAGGAGCGACCATTTCAAAGCGGAAGTCATTTTGGACGGGCCGAGGAGAGTAGCTTAAGAAGCAACCGAACAAGGAGAGATTGACTGGGTGGAGGGGCTTGGTCAGCGGAGAGAAAGGGGGCAATGACGGAAGCGGTGTGAGACACAGCCCTCCTTTTACCCTCCCTCCTCCTCTTCCCACACCTCCTCCCTTTCCTCATCTGCACCTTCCCTCCTTCCCTCCCCCCGACACACACACTCCTTCCCCATCCTCTCTCCAAGAAAAGAACCTCTTACAAGACCGTCTGGACGAAAGGGCATCGAAGGCATCGGGCATTGACTCCGAGGCAGCCATTTTGTGACCAATGGCGGAACCGGGACTTGACGAAGGACTTGATTGATTGAGGCCCATCTCCCGTCGCCAAGGCAACTCGGGGAGGGGGCGCGGAGAGAGGGAGGGACTTTTCGTCCCCTCTTGAAAAGAGATGGAGTCCAAGTACGCTACACTTGGCATGGCAAGCGCCGTGCCACCCATAGAGGGCGCCATGACGACAGGACACGGAGATCCGGACACCCAGGAGACGGGGGGGTTTGGGGATCTGTCGGGGGCCAGGCTGTCGGGGGGCGAGGGTCCCGCTCAGGCTTATTACCCCGGGAAGAAGGAATTCTGCCCCGAATCGCCCCAGCGCCACCGCAAGCCTCACCGCCACCCACTGGCTGCCTCGTACCGCTACACTCACTCCCTACCCCAGTTCTCCCGCCAGGCCACAGCCCATCGCTTCGTGCAGAGCTCCAAGTCGGAGCAGGGGCCGGACGGGGAGCCTGGCACTTCCCGGGACAGATGGAACCCTCAGCCATGACGGAAACCTTCCTCTCCCTCCAGGCCCGCGCTCAGGCCGGGCTAGGCCTGGGCCTGGGCCTGAGCAAGTCTCCCGCCAGCCTGCAGACCGCATTCGGCCACTGCCTCCAGGGGCAGAGCGAGGAGGGGCTGCGCAAGGAGAAGAGGCCGAAGAAGCCGGGGAAACACATCTGCCAGTACTGCGGGCGGGCCTGCTCCAAGCCCAGCGTGCTGAAGAAACACATCCGCTCGCACACAGGAGAGAGGCCCTACCCCTGCCTGCCCTGCGGCTTCTCCTTCAAGACCAAGAGCAACCTGTACAAGCACAGGAAATCCCATGCCCACGCCATCAAGGCCGGGCTGGTCTCGGCGTCGGAGGCCGAGGCTCGGCTGGCGGACGAGTACCACTCGGACGCCGACGAGAGCACCGAGACCGATGAGGAGGGCCCGGGAGAGCGGGGGCTGGGGCTGGGGGCCGAGACGGACGAGCGCAGGAGGCTTCCCGAAGCCCTTGCAGATGACACGACCCCGGCCCATGTGAAGGTGCCCATCCTGATCGTGCCGCGGGCCGGAGCCAAGGCTCGGGGGGAGAGCCCACCGCCCACGGAGGTGGACCCTGCCAGGGTCGTGACGGCTGCAGTCGGGCACTGGCGCGACGAGCCCCCTCACACCGTCAAGCAGAGGCTGGCCCTGAGGATCTCAGAGAAGCGGGGGCCGGACAGTGAGCAGTCCCTCAACCTCCTGAGCCCCCACAGCAAGGGCAGCACGGACTCAGGCTACTTCTCTCGCTCCGAGAGCGCCGAGCAGCAGGTCAGCCCACCCAACACCAACGCCAAGTCCTACGCCGAGATCATCTTCGGGAAGTTTGCCCGGATGTCGCCCAGGACCACGGGGACCGGCCCCAACACTCAGGAGCCCCACCTGATGGGCTTCAAGGACAAAGGAATCTTGGGGTCCATGTCAGACACCAAACCCGACATTGAGAAACTCATCGAGAAGCATATCATCCAATTGATAACCCACAACGAGGTGATGGTGGACCCCAGTCAGCTCAACACCGTCAAGCCCAGGAAGTCCTCGCTGTCCAGGGGTGAGGCCGGGGACTGGCCCAGGCAGCAGGTCCTGATGGGGGGTTACGGTCCGGGCACTGCCCAGGAGAAGGCGTTGCTCTCCGTGCCCCCCGGGGCGGGGAGCTCTGCCGACGGAGCTCCCCTGGTGCGCAGCAACTCCATGCCCACCTCCACAGTGTGCGAGCTGGCCACGCAGCAGGGACTGAGGGGCAGCCACTCCTTCGACGAGCGCATGGCGGGCTCCGATGACGTCTTCCACCCCAACGCGGCCACCCTCTCCCACCCCCGCATGCTAAAGCGGCAGACGGCCATCGAGCTCTTCCCGGCTTTGGACGCCCACCCGCTCCCCGGGGAGGAAGGGGAGCCCGGCGAGAGTGTGCTGAGGGTGGGCCGAGTGGGCCTGGGGGGTGAGCTGGCCGAGGAGACCCCTGAGGCAGAGCTCGGAGCAATGGCCAGGAAGGTGCAGCGTCACAAAGGGAGCCCCTTTGAGTGCGAGGTGTGTGGGGTCAAGTACAGGAAGTGGGACAACTTTGAGACGCACCGGACCTTCTACTGCCCTCAGCTGCATGGAGCCAGGCCGGGCCTGCACCGGGCGGGGGGCACGGAGGCAACCGCGATCCCCAGGCCCCAGCCCAGGCTAGGCCAGCCCCCCGAGACCCTGCCCCTGAGGAAGAGGAGGAAAGAGAAGAGCGTGGGGGATGATGAAGATCCACCGGGGGAGTACGTGAGCTCGCTGGACACGGGCGGGGAGGACCCAGACCGGGGCGGCGTCAGGATCAGCTCCGGCTCCACCAGTCCCTTCGTGGGGGAGGGCTACAAGACCCCGGCCCACCCACAGGCCATGGAGTACCAGAGCGCGGGGGAGGAGCAGCCACTGTGTCGAGGTGCCCTGGACGAGGTCTACGGCCTAGCGGACGGCCAGTCCCACTCGTCCCAGGGCAACAAGCACCAAGAGGCCGTTGGCCGCCACAGGCCGGGCAACGAGATCTCCGTCATCCAGCACACCAACTCGCTGAGCCGGCCCAGCTCCTTCGAGCGCTCGGAGTCAGGGGAGGGCCCGGGGTCAGGCCGCTGTGCCACCCCCGAGCCCGAGGCACCCACCAGCTGCGGGGAGGCTGAGCCAGGCGAGGCTCAGGCCAAGCTGATACGTCAACACAACATCCTGGTGCCGGAGATCCGAGTGACCGAGGAGCCAGAGAAAGACCCAGAGGCACCCGTGAAGGAGCCCGAGAAGATGGCGGAGGAGTTTCAGTGGCCCCAGCGCAGCGAGACCCTCTCCCAACTGCCCACTGAGAAGCTCCCGCCCAAGAAGAAGAGGCTACGGCTGGCGGACATGGAGCATTCGTCCGGGGAATCCAGCTTCGAGTCGGTCTCCCTGTCCCGCAGCGCCAGCCAGGAGAGCACCCTGTCCCACACCTCCAGCCTGTCAGCCTCGCTGGATCGGGATGAAGCCCCCAGGTACTCCGGGGGGCCGCCCGAGTTCCTCACCGTCCCCTACGGGGCCTCTGGTCTCCTGGGGGCCCAGGGCCACCAGCAGAAGGAGATGAGACGCTCCTCCTCTGAGCAGGCTCCCTGTCAGCCCTACCCGGAGATGGCGGAGAACAGGAGCAAGTCTTTTGACTACGGGAACCTGTCAGGGGCCTCAGGGCTGGCTGCGGGTGTCCCCGGGGTCTCGCTGGCTCGGGAGAGGAGGAAGTGTTTCCTGGTCCGCCAGGCCTCACTCAGCCAATATTCCGAGCCCTTGACAGCCGATCCCAGGCCGGAGCCGGCTGAGCCCCGTGTCTACCGCCCGCCCTCACCTGCCTGCGTCCTCCCCGTCCTCGACCGGCACCACCAGCCCCCCTGGCATCCCCCGCCCCCGCCAGCCGACACACAGCTATCGTGGCAGTACTTCCGCCCGCCAGGCCCGAGCTCCCCGCACCATCACCACCCCCCAGAGCAGCCCACCCATCCTCGATCCCTCCCGTCACTGCCCCACGACCACACCGAGCAGCCCATCATTGACCCCTGGGGGCCCCACCCTGACCCCCCCGGGGCAGACAGGAGACCCCACGGTCAGTGGGAGCGGGAGTGTCCGCGTCACCTGCCCCTTTCCCCTCAACACTCGCCCAAGAACAGGCCCGTCCTCTCCCCGACCCCCCTCCCCGGATGGTGTGCCAGCCCCCAGGGCTGCTGGTGCCGGTCAGGATCCAGGCCAACGTGCCCTCGTATGGGAGCGTCATGTACACCAGCGTCTCCTCACACGTCCTGGGCGCCCGGCCGCCCTCCAGCTCTAACGCTATCCTCATGTGCAAGGTGGAGGAGGAGGGGGCAGCGAAGGGAGCCAGAGGCATCAGCCTGGAGCTGGCACGTGCCTTGGCCGAGCGGCAGAGAGGACTGGGCCAGTGCCCTCTTTGGAAGTTTTCGTCAGGCCTGGGTGGCAGTTTTGAGAGCGGGGGTGTGGGCATGGGTGGGTCGGACGGTCCTGGAGCCATGGGTGGCAGTAAGCGGGTGCTCTCGCCCGCCAGCAGCCTGGAGCTCTTCACCGAGACCAACCAACAGAAGCGCGTCAAGGAGGAGAAGATCTGCGGGCAGATGCTAGAGAAACTGAGTCTCCGTGAGACCAGCCCGGCCCCCAAGCCCAACAAACCCCAGCTGCGGAGGCAGCACTGCACCACGGAGCTCAGGGAAGGCCTCTCGTCCCCTTCCTCGCCCTCGCCCTCCACCTCCTCCTCTTCCTCCTCCTCCCCACCCTACTCCCAGGATTTCAAGCCCATGGTCCGTTTGGGGGAAGCAGAGGCCATGGATTCCTCGGGCAGCCTGGACACGGAGAGCCCACAGCAGGGAGAGGCCTGCTCGGAAGCCAACCACACTCCCAAGTTCCCCATCAGCATGCTGCTCCAGGTGCCGGCCAGCCAGAGCGGGGCTGCGGGCGGGGGAACCATTCTCCTCACGGACGTGTCTGACCTCCAGGCCTTCCTTCAGTTCCCCAGCCTGCGCACATCCACCGGGGTGAGCTGGTGCTTCCTGAACTACACCAAACCCAACCACACCCGACAGACAGCGCCCAAATCCTCGCTCTACGCTTCCTGGTGCATCAGCGCCTACAACCCCAACCCCCCCGGCACAGCCACCAAACTGGCCCTGGCCCTGCTCAGGTCCAAACAGAAGAGCAGCCGAGAGACTTACATCATGTCCACCATCAACTGGCCCTACTGCGGCAAGCTGGTGTCCTCCAGCGCTTGGAAACAGAGGCTGGCGCAGGTACAACAACTCGGGTTTATGTAGCAGCTTACACGAGGGGCAGTGTCTCGGGGACCTAATAATATAATAATCCTTGCATTTGATATTGCGCCTTATCAAATCTTCGAGATGTGTCAAAGCGCTTCACAGAATACACTGTAAATTGACTGTATATTTTGTGGCCGAGACTTGACTCCGATTCGGGGTGGGGAGAGGTGACCGTAGGCACGGTCGAAGAGGAACACTCAGTGCAGAGGCAGAGGGATGAGAGGAGAGAGGAGATATCTGAGTGGAAGGAGCCAGGTGGTTTGGGGCCCGGTGGACTAGGAGGATTTTGAAGGTACAGGGTAGGGTGAGGTGCTCAAAGGAGGATAAACCAGGAGAATAGGGGGATAAACCAAGAGAGGTTTGGGAAATGGGAGCCACCCCCACCTTCACGTAGGTAAGAGCCCGACAGCACCTTAACAGTTTTTTCTTGGTTGTTGTTTAAGACAAGGATTAGGAACATTTAGAAGGGAATTTGTATTTATTAATAATAATACGTACATTTGGTCTCGTGCCATCCACGTCAGGAGGGCGCCCCAAAGCGTTTGGCAGGACACAATGTAAAGTGTAGTGACTGCGTGTTTCATGGGCAAACTCAACAACAACAACGACAAAATGACATTTGTAAAGCCGCCTTTCACATCGGGAGGACGTCCCAAGCCGCTGGACAGACAGTTTCGGATCCGAGCTGGGGTTCGGGATCGCGGAGGGTGGAGGGCAGGAGGTGAAACAGGGAGATCGAAAGCACGGTCGAAGAGGAGGGTTTTGAAGGAGGCAAGGGAGGGGGCGAGGCGGAGGGATTGCGGGATGGAGTTCCAGAGGGTAGGGGCAGAGTGGCAGAAGACCCGCCCGCCAGTCGTGGTTCGAGCGGGGTGGTGGACGTGTAGCAGGCCGGAGCCCGCTGAGCAGAGGGAGCGAGCAGGATGGTAGGGGGTTAGGAGGTGGCGAAGGTAGGAGGGAGCAAGACCATGGAGAGCTTTGAAGGTGAGGACCAGGATGTTGAACTGTATCCTCTGTGTGATGGGAAGCCAATGGAGTCGTGCGAGGATGGGGGTGATAGAGTCACAGAGCCTGGTGCGGGAGAGGACCCGGGCTGCAGAGTTCTGGATGATCTGCCGCCTGTGGAGGGAGGAGTTAGGGAGGCCGACAAGCAGGGAGTTTGCACAGTCAAACCTCGATGTAATAAAAGCGTGTATCAAGGTTTTGGCGGCCTGCGGTGTGAGACAGTGGCGGAGCCGGGCGATGTTACGGAGGTGGGGGAAGGCAGAGCGGGTCATGGCGCAGATGTGGGATAGAAAACTCAGCAGCTACTTTGTACACAGCAACGTCCTGGAAACAGTCGTGGATTGAATTACAATTTTATTGTATATGCATTTGAAGAACGTGCAGTAGTTGGAGACCATTGTAACACTGTGGTTTTAGGCGCTTGACATCAGACACCCACATCCCCCATTAAATGGCCACCGCTGACATCTCTTCCTGTCACCTTCCTTCGCGCAAGTCTACTGCAATATAACCAAAGCCATCTTCCCCCGGGGTGGGAGAGAGGGACTGTAAAGGGGCAGGTGAAGGGCCCTTGAAAGTGTCTCGATGGGGGAAAAGAGCAGGGGAATGGGGATTAGAATAGAGAGATTCAGTGGGGAGTGAGCACCAGCATAGGCACGATGGGAGTAAGAGCAAAGAAAGAAGGGACGAGGATTAAAGTAAAGGTTAAATCAACTCGAGATACAAAATCGCTTCTCGTTGCGTTAGATCAAATGGTACGAGTCGTCGCAGCAGGAATGTGAAGGCGCTGGGAGGAACTCTTCAGGAAGCTTTGAAAAGGAGCGGGAGAAGATGGAAACGTGTGGAAATAAAGATCTCACTGCCAAGCAACCTGAGCCAACGCGAATCAAAATTTTTGACGGAGGGTAAGCACTGACCAGTTTTTTGAGGAAGGGGCTTATTTTCGCATGTTCTTAGGGTTCATTCCATTGTCCATTCCATTTTGAAGACAATATGGTGGAAATTTGGTGAATTCGGTTTTGTGAAATCCCTCCTGTTGTGGGGACAGGTTAAAAAAAAGTATTAGACGGGTACGTGCAGAGGGCAGGTACCTCAACTCCTGATAACTCGTCACTCCGAGAGAAAGGGCTCAGTGATAAGTTATCAGGAGTGGCGAGTTAGGCATAGGTACAAATACATAAATAAATGCAGCCGGGATACTGACAGCACAGCAGGATGACTTAAGTGGTAGTCAAGTCAGGGTTGAGTTATCAGGAATTTATAATAATAATAATCCTTGCATTTGATGTAGCGCCTTAGCATGTCGTTGAGACATCTCAAAGCACTTCACAGGATATACTGCAAAGTGAATTGACTGAGTATTTGATGGGGCGAATTCACTGCATTGGAGGGAACAACGTTAACTTGCATTTACATATCACCCTCCACATGGGATAATATCTCAGAGTGCTTCACAAAGAGGCAGTCGCAACTTGAGTGAGGTGAGGTAGGAAGAAAGAGGGAGTAACTGTAGGCAAGTTTGAAGAGCTAGGATTTTAGGCAGGATTTAAAGACGGATAGAGAAGGGGCCAGGCGGAGAGTTAGAGGGAGGGAATTCCAGAGGTTTGGGACGAGAGGGCTGGGGTGGAAGGAATGAGCAGCGGATTAGGTAGGGGAACAGCAAAGAGAGGGAGGATGCTGGAAAGTGAAGGGATTTATGGATGAGTTTGAAATCAATGTCTAAGGGAGACGGGACCTGGTGAGGACTAGGTTTCTCAATCTCTCACTCGCCTACGAATCCCTTCACAACACCACCACCAACATAATTATATGTGTTTAGCGCCTTTCACGTCGGGAGGACATCCCAAGGTGTTGGACAGTCACTATTTCAGACCCGGTCGGGTGGGGTGTGTGGAGTGTGGGGGACGATGCAGGGTGATCGAAAACATGGTCGAAGAGGAGGGTCTTGAAGGAGGCAAGGGAGGGGGAGAGACAGAGGGACTGCGGGATGGAGTTCCAGAGGATGGGGGCAGAGTGGCAGAAAGCCCGCCCGCCAATGTTGGGGCGGGCGAGGTGGGGTACGTGAAGCAGGCTGGAGCCCGCTGAGCGGAGGGAGCGGGCACCCTGGTACACCCTGGCATCTCCCTATCTTTCTGACCTGCTTTCTTCCCACTACACTCTCCGTTGCCTCCGCTTGGCTGCTCTGGCTTCATGGTTGTCCCTCATCCCCACTGTTCCACAATCGGCGGTTGCGCTTTCAGTCACAACTCCCTGAAACTCTCTCCCCTAATCCCTCCGCCTTGCCCCCTCCTTCCCTTCTTAGATCACAACTGTAAACCTTCCTCTGCGACCATGATTACGGTCACCTCCTCCTCAGACTTTAGTGACGGTGAGGATGTGGGCGACTGCGTTTTGGATCAGCTACAGTTTATGGATTTTATGTGGAACCAGGGAGAATGATGAGAAGAGTGTTTGAAAGAGGAAATAGCAAGGAATTGGGATTAGGGCAGATAGCTTTGAGGAGAAACAAAAAATGAGTCAAAATAACAGGCTAAGTGGCCTCCCACTGGGTTGGGGTTTTTATGTTCCTTTCACTTAACTATGAGACAAGGCAAACAGGATGTTGGCTATGTTACCAAATCGGTTGAGTTCAGATCCACAAACAACATATTCAACAACATATTCAACAACAATAACAACAACATCTTGCATTTATATGGTGACCTTCATGCTGAATGGTGTCTTGTAGCGCTTTACAGTGGCGGAGCCCAATGCCAGGGCAGGGGGAGGGGGAAGCTGACAGTAGGCACGGTCGAAGAGGAAGATCTTCAAGCGCAACCTGAAAATGGGGAGTTAGGGGGGAGCAAGGCGAAGGGGACCGAAGGAGAGAATTCTACAGCTTCGGGGCGTAGTGGCTGAAAGCACGGCTGCCGATGGTGGGGCGGAGTGTCCGGGGGATAAGGAGGAGGCCAGAGACAGTCGAGCAGAGGCAGTGGGTACTGGTGCGAGGAGACAGGAGGTTGGAGAAATAGGGGGGGTGCCAGGCCATGAAGGGATTTAAATACAAGAGTGAGGATCTTGAAATCGATCCGCTCTGTGACAGGGAGCCAATGGAGTTTGACAAGGACTGGGGTAATGGAGGTATGGAGTTTAGTGTGGGTGAGAATGCAGGCGGCGTAGGTTTGAGTTATTCAGGCTGTACAGGCTGAATCTCGTTACTGCATACGGTTCTGGTCACCACACCATAAGGGCCTGAGAGACAGCGTAGAGGAGAGCAACAAGAATAATCCCCAGTGTTAGGAGGAATGAGCTGTGAGCAACGATCAGACAAGCTAGAACTCAATACTTTAGGATGCACCGAGACAGTAGAACAAGAGGACGCAGGTGTCCTCTCCACCTCTCAAAGCCAGTCAGGAACCTCGCGTTCTGTTCGACCCTGAGCTGTCCTTTCTTCCCCACATCCGCGTGACAACTGTCACCGCCTTCCATCACCTCCAATATCGCCAGACTACGGCACTACCTCACCTCTCACGCGGCTGAAACTCTGGTCCACGCCTTTGTCACCTCAAGGCTGGACTATGGGAACTCTCTCCTCGCCGGCCTTCCCGCCACCTCCCTCCACACTGCAGGTCATTCAGAACTCTGCAGCTCGTGTACTGTCCCGCACCAGGCTTCGCGACCACATCACTCCCACCCTCGCTCGCCTCTACTGGCTCCCCATCCCCCAGAGGATCGAATTCAAGATCCTCATCCTCACCTACAAGGCCATTCACGGCCTCGCTCCCTCCTACCTCTCTGACCTACTAACCCCCTACTTACCTGCCCGTACCCTCCGTTCCTCTGGCTCAGGTCTGCTCCACATCCCCCGCCCCAACCGCCCTACCATCGGTGGCCGGGCCTTCAGCCTCTCAGCCCCGAGGCTCTGGAACTCCATCCCCCAGTGCCTTCGCCGCTTCCTCCCTTTCCTCCTTCAAGGCCGGTCTCAAGACCTTTCTCTTCGACTGTGCCTTCAGCTCCCCTCTCGACTCTCTACCCCTCCTCGCTCCCTCCCTTCCCTCCCCTCACCCTGACCATTTTCACCACTGCTCGGGTCCCGACCCAACTGTCCAGCGCTTTGGGACATCCTCCCAACGTGAAAGGCGCTCTATAAATGAAATCTTGTTGTTGTTGTTGTAGAGGTGTAAAGAGACAATTTCAGGACAGACACCAGGAAGTGTTTATTTACAGAGGGTAATTAATGACTGGAACAGGATTCCCAGGAAGGGTAATTGAGGCCAGGACACTGGGACTCATTTCAAAATCAGTTTGATGCTGTGATGGGGGGATGGTGGGGTGCATGTTCTGGAGGGAGGAGATCAGATGGGTTCAAGGGCCTTCATCATCCAAACCGATCTTGTGATCATCTGAAGGCAATTGATTGTCCTGATGTTGAAGATTGTGCAAAATTTTGGAGGAAACACTCGGACGTTCAGTTTTAAATTGGATAACAATTTTCCACAGCCCTTGTCGTAAATTAAAATATTCTTTGCAATGTTACTATTTGAGGCAATGGACATTAGGCCTAAGATGGTGAGGAATTGTGGGCGCCTGTGCTCCTGAGACAACCAAACATGAGTCCCTTCCTGCACCAGTCTCCTGATTTGGATTCAGTGGGGTCTAAACGTGGGGGGATAGGAATTGAAATGTTATTAATATGAATTTCAATGTGGGCCCAAACCCACACCCTTCTGATTGTGACTGTGTGAATTTCCTTCACACCACAAACTCTCTCACCCCTGCAGGTACAAGTCTACCGAGGACTATGTGTATGTGAGAGGACGCGGCAGAGGTAAATACATCTGCGAGGAGTGTGGCATCCGCTGTAAGAAGCCCAGTATGCTGAAGAAACATATCCGAACTCACACCGACCTTCGGCCTTTCATGTGCAAGTTCTGCAATTTTGCCTTCAAAACGAAAGGTCAGTCAGCCTCTGGTGCCTGTTCCTTCCCAGGGCCATGACAGTGGCCGGGATAACATTACCGGGGGTTAGAGAATGGGTTAGAGACGATATCTCCTTTCATTACCTCCTGTTATGTCAAGACATCTTACAGCACTTCAGTAATAAATGCTGTCAAGCGTAGTGACTGTGTATTTGGCTGCACGTTTGCCCCTCGTTTCTGTGCTGGTGCTCTCTCTCTCGCTCTGCTTTCCCCCATTCCCCAATATCCCACCAGAACCCTCTACTCCCTCACCAGTGAGCTACTTACCTCCCTCCTCCTTCCCACTTAATATTGAGATAAATGTTGCATTATTTTTTTATGAAGAATTCCGGGTTGGAAGGGGTGTGTGGCACGGGCTTCCTTCCGGATCCTTCCTTCCACACACATCGAGGCAACCTCCGCCCCCGAAATAGTCGGAGTGGCGTTCCTGGGACGACAACAACGTGATTTATATTGAGGCCTCACATGCGGGGCAGCTTAGAGAGTGATTGAGGTCAGGACGCTGGGACTGATTTAAAAACCAGTTGGCTGCTGTGTTGGGGGGATGGTAGTGTAAGGATCTGGAGGCATGAGATCAGATGTCACGGGAATCACAGATTTGAAAGATTATCGCAAAATCAACCTTTATTTGTCCAACTCTCTCCCTGGGTGCCGCTAAGGCCTCGAATCCAGCTAACATTTGGGGTGAAGCTTTGCCGTCCCCCCCCGTACTGAACACAATCACTGTACTTCTCAATACAATGTGCAGGTGAGAGCGAGGACCTTGAAGGGAAGAATTAACATTAATTCTTCCACATGTTTCAGTTGGGGGTCAGTGCACTGTGGAGAAAAAAAAACATTGGGGTAACAGGACTTCGTGGACACCCTGTATATCACCGGGCTCACGTGAGGCATTTCCCATCCAAGCCAGTGCGTCCAAATTGCGACCCATGGGCAGATATCACCCTCAAATAGGGCATTTCTGGCCCTCAGCAGCCAAAAGGTTTCATCTCCCTGATCTGGGCTATCAGAGGAAACGTGTAGAGATTTGCATCAGTACATTGGCTCAAACATTTTATCTTTTTGTATCTGTTTTGCTTGATGTGATCGCATTTCTTGCTAATTCCTCCCCCCTCTCGCTCTGTCTCTCTGTCTCTCTCACTCTCGCTCTTGCTCATTCCCTCCAGGAAACTTGACGAAACATATGAAATCCAAGGCGCACACCAAGAAATGCCTGGAACTGGGAATCGCTTTGACGTGTACGGATAGCACAGAGATAGAAGAAGCAGGTACGGTTAACACAAGGGAGGGGGAGAATGCGCTGTGTGATGTGCTAGTCATCACGTAGACAGAAAATATAGTTAAAACCCTGTCCTTATCCTTGTCTTTCGGATGAGACGTTTAACCGAGACCCGTCTGCCTGTCCAGGTGGACGTTAAAGGTCGTGTGGCCCTACTCGAAAAGAGAAGGGAATTTCTCTGCTTCTCCCGGTGTCCTGGCCGATAATCCCCCAAATAAATAAAATCGGTTACTCTCTCCAGGGCTGTTTGTGGGACATTGCTGTGCTCAGGAGACTCATAAAATACACAGACATTTTACAGTGTATCCTGTGAGACATCTGAATGATATGATAAGGCCCTACATCAAATGCAAGTACTATTATTATCTACTCCTCAGTTCCCTCCAGACAGTTCTTCTTCAATGCCTTCCTCGCCAAACCTCAGCTCCACCATCCACAAGCTCCAGTTCACCCAATAACCGCTCTCTTGCGTCCTCGCCCATCACCCTCTCCTCACCAGGCTTCACTGACTCCCTGTCACCCTTCAAGGTCCTCGCTCTCAACTACACATTCTTCACCCCTTCACTCCTTATTGCCATTACCACTACCACCAGTTCTTCAGCCTCATTATTCTGTTCATCCCCTCCACTCATCGAGCTCGGGCTAGCTGCTCATACCCCATTCTCTCCACCCAGCTAAGCAGGATCTCCTTGGAGTTGAACTATGGCTCCAAGGTAATGTGCTTGGCAACTGAATGTTGAAACTGATTCCACCCTCTGTCGTGGTCCCCTGTCAGGTTCCTGAGCCAGACAGGTGTGTAGTATTCCTGAGCAGTACTGATGACAGCACAGCCTAGCCTGGCTCATCGGCAGGACCTGGAAGGGACAGGAATCGTCCCAGTAATTCCACAGGTCATTCGACCTTTTAGAAGCTAGAAACAGAAGCCCATCGTGTCTGTACCGGCTCTTTTAAAGAGCAATCCTTTCACTGTCCTTTCCACACACCCCAGTACTTTACTCCTATTTAGATATCTATCTAGTTCTTTTTTGAAAGCTAATCTGGATTATGCCTCAACCACAGCTCCTGGCAGGACATTCCATACCCTAACCACTTTCAAAATCTTAAATTGATGCCCTCTAGTCACTGACTCACCAACCAGTGGAAATAATTCCTCCGTGTGGACTCTTATCAAAACCTCTCATCATTTTAAAGGTCGTGATCAGGTCACCCTCAATCTTCTTTGTTCCAATGGAAAAAGTCTCAGTTCCTCCAATCACCGCTCATAGGCCAAACCACTCATCCCCGGGATCATCCAAGTAAATCTCCTCTGCATCCCCTCAATGGTCTTGACGTCCTTTGTAACCAAAACTTGCGGTGCCACAAATTAGACCCTAGCATATTATTAGCCATGTCAGGAGTCTTGTAGCATAGTGGTTTGCATGCTTGCCTCGCAAGCGAGAGGACCTGGGTTCGATTCCTGGGCAGGGGGCGAAACCTTATGCAAGTTTCCTTACTCTACGCGCCTCTGTTTACATAGCAGTAAGTAGGAACCTGGTTATTAGTCGATTGGTGGACTGCTTTCCAGGGGTAATTTGTTTTTATAACCTTGCATTTGATAAAGCGCCTTATCAGGTCTTCGAGATGTCTGAATATATTGTGAAGTGAATTGACTGCACATTGTGTGGACAAAACGGTTTCTGACAGTGCAGTTACCAAGTGGTCTGGTCTACTTGGATGTTCCTTGACACCAGGCTCTCACCAGCCTGCGTCTAACACGCTTTCTATCCCCTCCTCAGGAATGGCGGATGACACCAACAAAGAAGCCTTGGCTGAGCTTCCGGTGGAGCATCAGTTTTCTGACCCCGAGGAGTCTGACGGAGGGGATGAGGAGGGAGACGAGGAGGACGATGACGAGGAGGACGAGGATGAAGATCTGCAGGGAGACAGCACGCCCACCACCAGCTCCAGGAGCACCAGCCCTCTGCCGCGCAGCCGGCCTGCCTCGACCTCCCTCAACATCTCCTCTCCTTCCTCCTTCGACGTCTCTGCCTCCAGCAGCCAGTCCTCACTGATCAATTACCTGGTCACCCTGCCGAGGATCGAAGTCACCCAGCTGATGCCGCCCTGCTATTCCCGAGCGGGGAGCCCGTTGTCACACTATCAGAGATACCTGCATGATAGGCTGACGGAACCCATCGAGTGCAAGGATAGGCTAGACATCCCCTCCCCCACCAACGTGTGGCTGCCGCGGACAGAGGAGGGCTCCCCCAGGGACGACAGCTCCAGGGAGTTGTCCCCGTCAGGAGACACCAGCTCCAGCCGACAGACGTCTCCCGGGTACGAGGGATCGCCCACGAGAGACGGCTCGCCATCTTCCCGGAGATACCTGTCCCCCCGACGGGACCTCTCGCCACGACGTCACCTGTCCCCCAGGCGGGAGATCTCACCCATCAGACACCGCTCGCCAAAAAGGGAAGCCTTTCTCCGGGAGCTCTCTCCCAGGCGGGACCTGTCTCCCAGGAGACATTTTCTGCCCAGGAGAGAGATCTCGTCCCCGAGACAGCTCTCCCCTGTGAAGGACCTCTCCCCCAGGCGGGACCTGTCCCCGAGACGAGACTACAGAGACCGGAGACACATGGCACTGAGAGCCACATCTCCCAGGAGAGCCACGTCCCACCCCACACAGTTGCCAGGGCAGTATGTACAGCATTTGGAAATGAACCTGGTGAGTGCAGAAGCCAACTGCTTGCTTCATAATGGGGTCTAAAATTAGATCCATACAGACAGGTGTCAGCCTGGCTCGGTGGCTCGCGCTCTGGCCTCAGAAGGTTGTGGGTTCATGCCCCGAAGTCTACACTTAGAGCTCACGGTTTAGGCTGACGCTCCAATGCAGCGTTGGGGGTGTGTTGCATTGTCGGAGGTGCCGTCCTTCGAATGAGACGTTAAACCGAGATCCCGTCTGTGTGTGCAGGTGGATGTTAAAGATCCCACGGCGCTATTGGAAAAGAGGAGAGAGTTTCTCAACAACAACAACTTGGGTTTATATAGTGCCGTTTCGCCCACAAAATACAGAGACACTCCACTTTCTAGTAATAATAAATAATAAATAAATGAATCCTGTAGCTCAGTGGTTAGAGCACTCGCCTGGCAAGCGAGAGGACCCAGGTTTGATTCCCGGGCAGGGCAAAACGTTGGACAAGTTTCCTTACTCCACACACCTCTGCTTAGCTGTAAGTAGGAACCCTGTCGGTAGTCGACTGGTGGATCTGTTTTCCTGGGGTAATAATCCTTTCAATGTAATAATAATAATAATTTGGTCACTCAATCCAACACTGTTTATGGGACGCTGCTGTGTGCAATTGGCTGCCGTGTTTCTCCCACAAAACACACAGTCAATCCACTTTACAGAACATTCTGTGAAGCGCTTTGAGACGTCTCAACGACTTGATAACTATTCACACTGTGTAGGACTAAGAGCATCTCCCCGTGTCCTGGCCGGCAATCCCCCAGATACAATGGCTCATTGACTTTGTAGTTGTTTGTGAGACATTGCTGTGCATAAATTGACTGCTGCTCCCCACTCTATTCTGCCCCACTCTCCAGAACTCCATCCCTCCATTTGTCCCACTCTCTCCCCACTTTTTAGTCCACTTTAGTACCACGCTTCTCGTCACCTTCCCCCACCTTGTCTTCAGTCCAGTCGGCTGTGCAAAAGCTCTTTGAGACGGCCTCCCAGCATGAAAGACAAGGTATTGTACAATAATAATAATTGTTGCATTTGCCTTTCACAATGGGAAGATGTCTCAAAGGCCTCCACAGGACTTAATGTATTTTTTTGCCCAGCCAGGTGTCTGATGCTTGTGGAAACCCATCACCGTGCTTAAAACGCATGGAAATCCCGATGTACTGAAATGGGACGTGCATTTTCTCTCCCTGGAGGGCTGTGTCCTGCTTACAGTTTGCACTGAATGTACTGTTTCATGTTGGTGGGACACTGCTGTGTGTAATTTCGCTGCTGCATTTACCTACAAAAATACACAGTCACTCCATTTCACAGTAATTCCTGTGAAGCGCCTTGAGACTTCCTTCCCATGTGACAAGGCATTGCACCAAATGCAAGGATTATTATTATTAAGTGTAGTGACTAAGTATTTTGCGGCTTCCAAGTTGAGAACGGATGGAAGAACTTTCCCTGACAAGAGTCCCTGACAAACCTCTCCGACCTATTTACTCCCCAAACCACTGCCCGCTGCCTCCGCTCGACTGGCTCTGACCTCTTGTTAGTCCCTCGTGCCCTCCGCTCCCCCATTGGTGGCCGCGCTTTCGGCCACTGCCTCTTTCAGAACACTGCCCTTCAATCCTTCTACCTTGCCCCCTCCTTCCCCGTCTCCTTCCTCTTCGACCGTGCTTACGGTCACCTCCCCCGGCTCGGTGTCAGGCTCTGCCACTTTTACGCTCCCTGGGGCACTGGATCAGTGCAAGTTGTTGTTGTTGTTGCTTAAAAATGGGGTCTAGATTGAACACAGATAGACAAGCGTCAGCCTGGCTCAGGTACTCGCGCTCGTGGGCACAGAAGATTGTGAGTTCAAGCCGCAAGTCTGCACTTTGAGCTCACAGTCTACACTGACGCTCCAATTCGGTGCTGGGGGGAGCCATTGCAATGTCAGGTGCCGTCCTGCGGGACGACGTTAAACTGGAGCCCTGTCTGCGCCTGTTGTTAAAAGACGTTAAAGATCCCAAGGTGGAGACTACAAAGACACCTCTGGGTATCACTTTCTGGGGGTAATAATCTATCAAAATAATACACAGTCACTACAATCTACAGTGTATTCTGTGAAGCGCTTTGAGACGCCTTGAAGACGTGATAAGGCGCTGTATCAAATGCAAGGATTGTTATTATTACTAACTGCAGGATTGTTTTGTTGTTTGTTTTGACACAGAGATCGCTGTACGATGTACACAGGCCTCCCCCACAGCCGCCTTTGTATCCTCTTCCCGAGGGGAAGCATCTCCAGGCGGTGCTGGGTGAGGGGCGCGAGGGTTACCTCTTCAGCCACCTGCCCCTGCACTCCCAGCACCAGGACCGAACCCCTTATTGCATGATCCCCATTGGGGGCATCCAGATGGTGCACTCGCCCACCACGGCCTACCCTGGGCTGCCCGCGGCCTCTCGGGCCCCGCGCTGGGCCAGGCAGCGGGAGGACAGCCTGATCGAGGAGGCCACGCACTGCGTGATCGAGAGCATCAAGGAGATGGACATCTTCTCTAGGCCGGAGGAGGCGCAGTCTCCCATGGCGACCGGGCCGCAAGCCAGGACCCCCAGCCCCGCCGACCCCAGAGAGCGTAGGACTAAAGGGGACGAGGCGGGCGGAGCAGGGGGAGGGCCCGAGCAGCTCTGGGAGCCCCCAGCACTCGCCCGCCCTGGCTTCACTGAGACCTTGACGGCTGCTGGACACTTCGGCTCGGCCCGGGCCCCCTCCCACTCCCCCTCCTCCGGCCCGCGGCCCGAACACAGCGATCTCTTCTCAGACGGGATGAGGTACCAGGGCCTGAGCTGGGCCGGGAGCGACCGACAGACTCACTGCAAGAAAGCCTACTTCCCCGGCTCCCAATGAAGAGATCGATTAACAGAGGAAACAGGAGACACAGGGCTCCGCACTGCTCTCTCGCAACCTTGCGGACAGAACGCGCGCGAAATAAATAAGTATATATAAATATATATATATATATATATAAAAAATTAAGATTAATAATTTTCTATCCCATACGTAAACCCGACCAAAATCATTTTACAGACTTTTGTCGTCCAGTTACGTACTTATATTTGTGCCTTTCCAGTAGTCTGCATTGTCGTATGCATAAATAAGACAGGGAGGACTTGTACATAGGATAGATCCTAGTTTACCTGCTTAATAACTGTTATTCCTAGCCCTCCTTTTAAAGCACTTAACTGGGGTGGGGTGGGTGGGGGGGGGGGGCGGTACGGGCTGGGGGGGCAGGGCGGGGGAGTGTTGAGTGTGGACAGTGGGATGTGTGTCTCGAATGATTTTACAAAAAAGACGGTTCGGGTGGGGGTGGGTGGGTGGGTGGGTGGGTAGGAGGATTTTTTTGGGGGCGTGGGCATTGTGGGGGGGGGTGGGTGGGGGGGCGAGCAACATAGTTGAGAAGAACCAAACTGGCCCCTAACATGCGCTATCTCTTTAACAGATTTCTTATTAAGAAAATGTGCACAGTCAGGTCGAAACCGAACCGTTTCGAAGGCTGGGTCGTGTCGCGTGTCGGGGTTTTCTTTGTCTCCCCCTCCCCACCACCCCACTCCGCACCCGCCTCCCCACCCGCCTCCCCCCCATAGGAACATAGGAGAAGGCCACTCAGCCCCCCTCGAGCCTGTTCCGCCACTCTATGAGATCATGGCCGATCTGTAGCTCAACTCCAATTACCCGCCTTCGCCCCCCTATCCCCTTGATGTCTTCACTGTCACTCAGCACATTTGATGGGTCGGAGATGATGAGGGTCTTCAGTAAGAAAAGCCCTTTAGAAGAGGCGCAAACTTGGGTTGGGTGGTCTCCTCTGGTAGGTATTATATAAGTAAGGTTGCACTAAAATGTATTTTTATACAATTGAGAAAAAAAAAGGAAACAAAACTATTCTTGTGCGCAGTGGTGATTTTCTGTGATACTAATATTTATTTTTTTGTGCTTTTTTTAAATAAATTGTAGATTTTACCCTTCCCCCCACGCCCCCACCACTCCTCCCCGCTCTGTCTCACCCCTTCCCCTCCCTCCCCTCGTTTTTAAATGACTCTCTCTGCTTCTGTTATCTTTGATCTTGTCGAGCGTGGGGATTTTTTCTCGAGGGCGGGTAAGCAGATAATCCTTGATAGAGTTGCACCTGTTACGCTGCTGGGCTGTGAGGTAGGAGGGGAGGAGGGGGTTTATTGAAGTAGGGGTGAGGGAGAGATAATGTTCCCTTTCTTCTTCCCCCCCCCCCCCTCCCGTCCACCTCCTCCTCCCCCTCCCATCCCCAACGTTGCACAAAGTCTCTTGACCATCCTTCTGTATAAAAAGTGAGGCCCACTTTTTGGGCCGTGTGCGAAAATGATTACTTTTCAGCGTTGACGGAGAGCGAGTGGGCTCATTGTGAGTTGCGTCAGCTTGGAAGAAGTAAGGCTTTAACGCTCTCCGAGACTCTGGGGCGCTACATAAATGCAAGTTGTTGTTGTTGTTACGCTGTTGAGCTGTTTCTTAAATGAGTCCCCAGTGTCCCTGACCTCATCTTGCCCAATGCCCATCAGCTCTGCTGCTGCTACCCTTTCTGTGTGCACAGAAACACCTCCCGATGGCTTTGCTGAAACTGCCCTCAGCACTGCCCTCAACCTACTCTCTCTTGTCGTTCTGCCGCGTCGTATCTAAAAGTCTCGTCCTGCATTTACCCCCTCAGTCCTGTTTAGCTTACCTTGAATATGTCTGTAAGGTAACCCCTAGCTGGATTGGGAGAGGAGGGTGAGGTTGGATTGGACTGGGATGTCCACCGTCCGCCCCAAACCACGATGGAACCGTCTTGACACCAACAGTGGAGGCTTGTAGCGTAGTGATTAGCTCACTCGCCTCGCAAGCGGGTGGTGCGAAACCTTAGGCAAGTTTCCTTACTCCGCACGCCTCTGTTTACCCAGCAGTAAGCAGGAACCCGGCTGTTAGTCGATTGTTGGGACGCTTTCCAGGGATAATAATCCCTCCCCTGAAAAATGGACACTCAATCCACAATTGTTTGTGGGACACTGCTGTGTGCAATTGGCTGTTTCATTTGGCCCACAAAATAAAATCAATTCACTTTACAGTATATCCTGTGAAGCGTTTTAAGATGTCTCAACGACGTGATAAGACGCGATATCAAATGCAAGGATTATTATTATTATTAGTCAAGATTCCTGCACGAACAATGGACACTATATGGTACCTGGTACCGTACCTCAGTAGAAGGGGAAAAGGTTGTTAAAATGTCTTTGGCAGAGAGGAACCAGAGAAATCTAGGACACAGTAGGAGGCTGTGGTAGCAGTTTGAGAGTGGAATCTATTTCTGCTGATTGCTGAGTCAATAGCTAGGGGGCATTGATTAACATCATCACGAGAGAAACAGAGGGAGAGGTTAGGGAGATAATGTAGACCATGATAAGCTGTTTAATCTTGTACTGATCAGTAGAACCAGAGGACATGGCCTGCGATTTGAAGGGGGATGAATTCAGACTAAATCTGTGGAAACGCTTCTTCAGTGAGCGAGTAGTAAACATATGGAGCAGGCCCCCCTAGGGAGGCAGTGGAAGCAGAAAGTGTTGGTTGTTTCAAGAAGAAGTGAGATAGATTTCTGTTGGGAATTGATATAGAATCATACAATTAGGCAGCACAGAAGGAGGCCATTCGGCCCATCGTGTCTGTGCCGGCTCTTTGAAAAGAGCTATGCAAATCAATCCCACTCCCCATAGCCCTGCAAACTTGTCCTCCGCAAATAATTATCTATTTGGGGGATAACTCGGGATACAGTATATAGTTTGGGACATGACATGTCAAGGTCTGACAGGATGGTGAAAGGTGAACCTGATGGACCTTAGTCTTCTTTCGCCAGCAATTCTTATGTTCTTATCTCCTTACATGCACAATGCAATACAATTTTGCCTTTAGATAGCGCCGTTCATGTTGGGAGGACGTCTCAAAGCACTTGAAAGCACCTACACAAACGCACAAGGGGGTTATTTTTTTAAAAAAAATAATAATTTGGTCACTCAATCCACGTCTGATTGCGGATCACTGCTGTGAGCAATTCTCCCCCTCAAAATATAGTGAATTCACTTTACGGTTATATCCTGTGAAGCGCTTTGAGATGACTCAACCATGTGATAAGGCGTTGTATCAAATACAGAGATAATTATTATCGTTCTTTGCATGTGGAAAACCCAGTCCAAACAACCTCAGGATGGGGGCAGATGGGCAAATGCTTTTAGAAGTAAATTGGAACAAATGTTTGTTTGAGAGCGAAAAATCTAAAAAAAAGGGTGTGTGAGGGAGAGAGAGAGAGAGAGAGAGAGAGACGGGGGAAAACGGCAGGTGAATGGGAACGAACAGAACTTTTTCAGAGGGGGTGGCAAAGGCACACGCCAGGCCGAATGGCCTCCTCCTCTGCTAGGAGTTTGTGTCGCTGTCTAGACGAGAGAAGCTTGGAAATTGATGGGGGGAGTGAATGGAAAGGGGGTGGGGGGGGGGGTGTGGAGCGTTGTGGGAGTTTAGAGGGATAGAATCTGGAGCCCACCAGATTGAGAGAGAAGGCTGGAGGGGGTTAGAAAATGAAAAGGGGGATTAGAAGTATTTAGTTGTTTGCTGGACGTTGCTCTGACGCACAGCTGTTTGTGGGGGAGGCTGTTGGTCTGAAAGTCTCTTGTCTTGTGGAGAGGTTTCTGCTCTCTCTGCCTCCGCACTAGCCCGAACGTCCTGTCTTCAGGAGCGCCGAGGGTTAATCCAGGAATTCCAGGGATTCATCCAGGAATTCAGAGGATTAACTCCAGAATTTCAGAGAACTATTCCAACAATTCTTTGCATTGGTGCAGCGATGCTGAGATTCCACATCATGTATATCCCTTGTGTCTGTGCTGGTGCTCGCTCCCCCACTGGAGCTCTCTACTCTAACCCCATTCCCCTGCTCTCTCCCCATGGTGTCTGTGCTGGTGCTCGCTCCCCCACTGGAGCTCTCTACTCTAACCCCATTCCCCTGCTCTCTCCCCATGGTGTCTGCGCTGGTGCTCGCTCCCCCACTGGAGCTCTCTACTCTAACCCCCATTTACCAATCAATATCATTTCCCCTCGAGCATTTTATCCCATTCCCTTTCAAATGCTGTTCTTCGTTTGGCTTTGACAACCATTCGTGATGAGGTCTGACAATAACGACAACAACAAATTGCATTTATGTAGTATTTTTCATGTCAGGAGGACGTCCCACAGGGATTTTCCTGTAAAGTGCAGTGACTGTATTTTGTGGATGAACGCCATAGCAGTGCCCTTCAAACAGCCATGAAGTGAATGACCAATTTCATCAAAGAGCAATGTCAGCCCAGGGTCACTGGGAGAGAGATACTCTCTCCTTTTTTTCGTGGGACCTTTAACATCCACCTGGACAGGCCGTGAAGCCCGTTTATGGTAAAACACTCCGTACCTTCCAACAACCTGGACATGAACAGAATCGTCCAACCGGCCATGTCACCCCCTCTCCACACACACACACACACTTGTGTTTCCCGTCTGATCATAAACCCACATTTTAGGACCTCTTGCCACTGACGAGCTGATCGCTGTCATTGGTAAGAGGTCCTAAAATGTCTCTATCTAACCCGTCAAAGCCAAACCGTGTGTGTTTTCTTTTCAAGTGTTACACTGCTTCAGTGGGTACACTGGGCTCCGAGTCAGATAGTTGTGGGTTCAAGCCCCACGTCGGGACTTTGAATTCAGAGTCCGCAGCTCACCAATGCGGCGCCTGGGGGTCGGGGGTGGGTGGGGAGTGACATTGTCGGAGGTGCCGTCCTTCGGGTGAGATGTTAAACCGAGGTCCCGTATGGCTGTTCAGGTGGATGTTAAAGATCCCGCGGCGCTATTCGAAAAGAGAAGGGAGTTTTTCCCTCCCAATGCCCCGGCCAACAATCCCCCAAGTACACTTGGTCACTCACTCCGTGGCTGTCTGTGGGGATGTCGCTGTGCGCAATTGGCCGCCATGTTTCACACGCAAAATACACAGT